TTTTTAAAGCTGGGCGTGGTGGCACATGCCTTTAATCCCAGCACTCGGGAGGCAAAGGCAGGCAGATCTCTGTGAGTTCAAGGCCAGCCTGGTCCACACAGTGAGTTCCAGGACAGCTGGGGCTACAGGGAGACCCTGTCCCAAAAAGACCAAAAAAATTATTTTTATGTACTTGAGTGTTTTTCCTGAATATATTAAGTGTACCATATTCATGCAATGCCTGAAGAGGCCAGAAGAGGGTGTCAGATCATCTGGAACTAGAATTATGGATGGTTGTTTGTCACCACATGGGTGCTGGGAACCAAACTCAGGTCCTCTGCAAGAGCAACCAGTGCCCAGTGCTCTTAACCACCAAGCCATCTCATCAAGGGGAAAAAAAAATCTTAAAAATTCTTATGGAAGCTCAAAACACCTCAGAAAGTCAAAGAAATCCTGAGCAAAATGAATACTGCTGGAGGTACACCATACCTTATTTCGAGTTATACTTCAGAGCCATAGTATTAAAAACAACATTGTTCTGGCAAAACAAAACAAAATCAGACACATAGATCAATTGACTAGAATAGAAGAGAGGACCCAGATACAAGCCACCTAATTATGGCTACCTAATTTTTGACAAAGATACCAAAAATACATTGGAGAAAAGACAAATGATGCTGGAAAAACTGATGTCTATGTGTAGAAAAGCAAAACTACATTCTTAGCCCTCACCCTGCACAAAACTCAACTCCAGGTGGATCAAGTAACTCAACCTGAGACCTGAAAAATTCTGAAACTGTTGAGGAAAAAGTCAAGAGTGCACTTCAAGATAGACGCATAAGGAAGGACTTTATGAATAGGACTCCAATCACGCAGGAACTAAGACCAATGACAGACAAATGGAATTTCATTAAATTTAAAAGTTTTTGTACAGCAAAAGAAACTGTCAATCAAGTGAAGAGGCGGCCTATAAGAGAAAAATCTTTGCTAACTATATATCCAACAGAGGATTAGTATCTAGATTACACAAAGAACTAAAGAAACTAAACATCAGAAATAAATAAATGGACCATGGGTTTCCTTGGAACTAAAATACGAATGGTTAATAAGCTTTTTAAAAAAATGTTCAACATCATTAGCCATTAGAAAAATGCAAATTAAAACTACTTTGAAATTCCACTTCACCCTAATCAGACTACTTATAAGACTACTTAAAACAAACAAAAAATATTGGAGAGGATATGGAGAAATTCACTGTTGGTAGGGGGTGTAAATTAGTGCAACCACTATAGGAATCAGTGTGGAAGTTTCTCAAAAAGCTAAAAAAATAGAACTACCATATGACCCAGCTATACCACTCCTGGGCATATATCCAAAGGACTCCATATCTACTACAGAGATACTTGCTTATTCATCACTGCTCTATTCACAATATCTAGAGAACAGAAACAACCTAGATGCCCATCAACTGATGATGGGGGCTCTGCTCCCTTGAGAGCCATGTCCTATGGTCTCCGCACCTGCTCAAACGCTGTCTCCTACAAGAAGCCTCCCTGTAGTGGGCATCCTGCACATGACAGCAGAACCCCTCAAGCCTAGAGCCCTCAATACCCCAACATGGGGCCTTTCTATTATTTCAGTATCTGTGTCTACCCCCTCCAATGCCACACATAGGAAAAGTGGAAATTCACATGGGGACTCCAGAGGCTCTACCCTGTCATCAGGGGGACACCCACAGACCAAGCTGCATGTTGAGGTTCCCATGGAGGGAAGGAGGCCAGGAAGACCTTTTGGGATACCTGTGAGCAGCCCTGTGAATTTCCTTCTTCAAAAAGATCAGGGCAAACAGCCTCCCCAATAGAACCAAATTTTCAGAAGATGTCAGGAACTTAAGAAGACATGGATGTGTAAATCCAAGGCAACTGTGAGAGGTGTCTATAATCTGAGTGGTCCTTCCTGTGAACCCACGAGCATGGCTTATCATTCAGTCTGTAGTAGAAAAGTGAGGCCAACCCCAGGCCTGCACCAAGATCCTTTCTGGCCCTGGGTTGGGGCTCTGCCTCAATTTACAAACCATGCAAATCCTACTGTCTGCTGTACAGAACTCAGTTTCTCCAAGTGTTAGAACATGTCTCAGGGAGCTGCTGGGTGGTACTCTTCCCACCTGAAATGTATACGAGAAAGAGAAAAATCACTTATGGAAGCCATAGTTGTCCATACACCCACCCTCTGAGCTCTGTCTTGTTTTTAATTGATGAAGTAATTGTACCTACTTGTAGGGTGAAGTGTGACATCTTGGTACCTGTCCACAGTATGTAACTGTCAGATCAGGTGGTGAGTAGGTCCATCTCCCTAGGCACCTGTCACTTCCCTGAGGTAAGCACTCTCTTCCAGCTATTCTTTTTTTTTTTCCGCTTATAAAAGGAAAAATTTATTTAGCTTATGGGCTTACAGTTCCAAAGGGGCAAGGGTCCATCATGGCAGGGAGGCATGGTGGCAGAGGTGGCTGGAGTAGGAGCAGAAGCTAAGTACTAACATCTTCAAGCAGGCACAGGAAGCAGAGGGTGACTGGAGATCCAGCAAGGCTTAAGAACTCTTTTCCAGCTGTTCTTAGATATATCCCCTGGTGCTCACTCTAGCCTCTGCTAAACAACACCAGAGGTTACTGCTTGTCTAACTTTAATTCTGTACCAATTTCCCTTGCTGTACCTCCTAGGCTCTGCTTCTGGTAACTACTATTCAATTCCCTGCTTCTATGAGATCAGCTTTTCCAGCTTCCACATGAGTGAAATCAAGTGGTATGTATGCATACAGAAAACATGGCAGGTGCTGGGTGTGGGGTACTATCCTATAATTCTAATGTTCAGGAGGCAGAGGCAGGAAAATTGCAACTTAGAAGACAGCCAGGGTTACACAGTGAGACCTAGTCTCAAAAAGTGAAGGGCTAGGGATGTAGTTCAGTGCTCGCTTAACATGCGTAAGGCCTTCAGTTCAATCCCCTGCACTAACAGAAACAAACAAGCTCTCTCTCTCTCTCTCTCTCTCTCTCTCTCTCTCTCTTCTCTCTCTCTCTCACACACACACACACACACACACACACACACACACACACACACACACTCATTCTGGACCAACACTCATTTGTGGAAAAAGGATGAAATCCTGTCATTTGTGGCAACATGGATAAACCCAGAGGACATTATGCTATGTGAGCTGAGCTAGGCACAGAAAGGGAAGTGCTAGAAGTGAGTGGGAGGGTAATTGAATGGCAGCAGAGGATGGGAAGACAGGGAGGCTAGGCAATGGAAGCCAAAGTACAGATAGGCAGGAGGAGTAAGCTCAGTATTCTGCAGCACAGCAAGGAGACTACAGTGCCCAGTTGGTCACTATGCTCTTCATAAAGATTTGAAGGGAGAACATGAAGGCTCCAATACACAGGAATGACAGATGCTTGAGAAGTACCTGTTTGATGTGATCACTACACACCCAGACAGGCACACCCCCCCCCCCGCAACACACACACACCAGGGATCGTGTATTTGCTAAACAGGTAAGGGGGCACACGCCCATAATCCTGGCACTTGGAAGGCTGAGGCAGGAGGATTGCTGCAAGTCTGGGGCAGCTTGGACTGGAGTGAGATCCTGTTTCAAAAAAACAAAAACAGAACAAAACATAACCCCACTCCATCCCGCAAAAAAATTCTCCATACCTAGGAGTTTCAGTGGCCTGATGCAAAGCCCTCGGGGGCTTGTGGAAGGTCTGTCCCTGCTTGTCCTGCTCTAAGTGGTCTCCTGGTAGTAAAGTGAAAGCCCTCCCCGAATATATACATCACAAAGCAAGGGGAAATAGCAAGATGCAGCATGGGAAACTTCTAAAACCAGCACTTAGCCATATTTCTGGATAGCCTGGAAATAAACACTGTGTTTCTGCTTCAGGTAAAAGCTGGGAGGTAAAAATGGAAACATCTGGTGTGTAGGTGTTCGCTATGGAGGTGGGCTGAACTTGTGACTTCTGCCAGTCACCATACCTGTGGAGAAAAAAGGCTGTCTGCCAGGGTAAGACTATGGTTGGTTTTGGCCACCAGCTTGACTGGATTAAGAGATATCCAGGACTGCTGAGACCCACCTGTATGTCTGTGGGGTGCTTCCAGAGAGGGTAGTGACTGGAGGATGGGGGCTGCTCTAATGTGGGCAGCTTGGATGGTAGGTAGACAAAGGCAGCATAGGCTGAGCCTACAAGCCCTTTCTGAGAGTGCATGGCTGCCACTATCCCTTGCTGACACCAGCCTCCAGTTCCTAAGGCCTTTTAATGCAGAACCAATACCAGTGATTCTAGGAGCTCCCAGGCCTTTAGCACTGTACTGGGACTACTGAGGGGTCTAGATTCCTGATTGCTCAGTTAGTGTTCTCTGCCTCTTCTGTGTGCCCATGGCCATTGGTGGATCCAGCCCCTATGGTGTAAGCAATGCAGTACCACCCCATCCTTTTATAATATACACATATATGCTACTGGTTTTGTTCCTCTATAGAACTCTGACTAATATGACCAGCAAGTTAAGGTGTGGGTCTCTAGGGGAGCACATGCCTGCAGCATGTGGGCAGGAGAGCTGGACCAACCACTCTCATCTCTCTCAGAATAACTGACCTCTTTAATACTTGGCAAAAATGGTGAAAAGATGACATGATATGATTCATGCAGGACAGCCTGGGCCACAGCCACACAATGGCAGCACAGAGCTGGGGTCTCAGGGTGGACAGGAAGAATGGTCATACTGTGGTGGCTACTCTCACTTGGACAGGCCTTGGCCTAGATGCTAAGGGTACCTGGGAAGTACCTTGTGTTCATGCATGTGGTGGCTGCTCTTGGTGGCCCATCTTAAGAGCATGTGAACTCCCAGGCAGGGTGTTATAGTTTTACAGCACTCAGGATGGCTTCCCAGGGCCCAGTGCAGCAAAGAGCACAGAGCTAGCTACAGCAGAGCCAGAAGAGCCGGGCCAGAGGTGGCAGCTCTGTAGCCTACCCTCCTAAATCAGCTTTCTCATGCGCCGGTTATGTTTGTCCACAGTCAGGGTTGCTCGGTCCACAGTTGCAGTGATACCATCCAGAGCCTCATCCTGCCGCTCCAGCTCTGCCTCTGTGTCCAGAGCCAGCCCCTTCAGCTTGCCCAGGATCTGGAAGAAGCACAAATAACAAGCATGCACTGTTTCTATCCTTGTCACAATAGCAAAAGCCTGATGGGGATAGTGTTTTCTGAGCTGGGGGATACTGCCTACATAGCTGCTGCCTGGGTTTGGCCTCTGTGCTAGGCTGGACCCTGAAATCCCAGGATGTAGCTGTCCACCAGTGGCTGGCATACATGATGACCCAATGAGAGGTGCTAGGCACAACTCTGGACCTGGCTGTGAATAGCCCAGTGGACTGTGGGCTTCCTGTGTGAGGGGGGTTTTTGTTCTTGGCCAGTCACCTGTATCTCACCTGTCAGTGCTAATAATAAGACTGAAAAGATCAGGGCCCTTTTTCTTCCACACATGCAAATGGTATGACTCACAAACACAAAGGCACAACAAAACATACTAGTACATGCCACATAGCAAAGCTCTGCCAGGAATGTACCTCCAATTTCCATGAGCTGAAAAATTGCAACTGTCTAGTAATATGCCACACCAATGTAGCCTCATGTGTCTGTGGTGACACTGGTATGAACAGATCCAATGTGCGGCCATTTGTACAAAGCATACTGTAGATAATCACACATGCATAAAATTCTCATGACAACAGTTCAGGGCTGACAGAGTCACTAGGCTACGCACTTTACCACTATGTCAAACGTTAGTGAACCTTCTGCTTAGGACAGCAGTTTGTTGTGCCATAGCAGCTTCGAGCATCTGTGCTCACATGTCTCACACCAGCAAATGATTCATGCCTGTGTAAATCAGAGATGCTCATGATATTGAAGCTGCTTCACAAGGGACCTCAATAAGTGACAAATGCCTGTAATTTAATGTGCTACACAGCATAAGAAGTACGAAGCTGGCCATACTGACTCTTGAGTGGGTGGTGCAAAGAGCACTGAGGGTCCAGGCACTTTGAGTGGGCGTGTACATGGGACCGACGACGAGGTCAACGTACACCAAGCCAGACTGGGGAGGCCCATCCACCTATGCTTGTGATGCACGTCATTCTTCAAGCAGTTTTATTTTACTGCAGTTCTGAGTACCTCACACTGTGGTTGCTTTACTATATGCATATAAAGCTTGGTTAAAATGCTAATATTTTCAAGCTGACAGTACAAACATGCTAAAAGAAACAGCAACAACCATTTGTGATGACTGAAAACCCTTCTGGGGAAAGTTTCAGAACATGGTGGGGCCAAGGAAGAGGAATAGAGGAACCCAAAACCTTGGCCACAATCACTGCCTCTCCACAGCCGTGCATGGCAGGGATGGCCTGGGTGGGGACTTCAGAGGCCCCCAAGCCTGTCTAGTGACTATGCATTATACCCCAAGATCTCCCCTGAGCTCTACCCAATGACACTCACAGAAGAGCTCTGTGTACTGTGGGGGCCTGGGCAGAGCTACCACACATTGTAGGCAGCCCAAACTGTCACACCAGCACCCAGCCAGTGTCCCAGGTCACATGCCAAGTGCTGGGTTCTAATTTACAAAGGCACCCTTGCTCATGGGCTAAATGCTCCTCACCAGAAGGTAGACCTGGCTCAGTGATCTGCATCTAACCGACAAGAGACAACACGGGCAGGAAAAGCCAGGACTGTAAAACCTAAGTGCTTCCTCAACAGCTATAGTCACATGAGCTACCCACAATAACAAGCTGTGCAAACCACAAAGGCCTGTGCAGGAGGATACCACCAGGTCTCAGGAGCCCCTTTCTGCACACAGGCTACTCCAGGGCACACAGAGAGACTGTGACACGATGGAACAACCTGTGTCTCCCCATGAACACTGCCTGTGTTGGTACTGCTGTCACAAGATGCGGTGTGCTTGCCTGCAGACAGCTGTCCCAGGGCTGTCTCCCACTCCCTCTGTTGAGTCATTCCTCAGAAGCTGGCTAGAGCTCTGGAAAGTACACTGTGGGGTCACTGAGCCCTGGGGATGGGTGATGACCTCATACAGGAGGTCTTTTCCATCTCCTATGCTTGTGACGTCATACAGCAGATGCCAGACAGAATGGTAAACAAGGAAATGAATCCCCTGACACAGAGCAGGCCCTCCTATCACTTTCTCTGATCAATGCTGCTTTCTCACCTGCTGTGGTGTGGTGTGGTGTGGTGTGGAAGGAAGGTTGTCTTTCCTGTACCACCCACCTCCCTGTCACTTATGTCCTCTGACAAGACCTCCCAGTTTCCCATCGTCAGGCCACACACAGCCCCTGGTGGTGCTTCTCTGCAGTCTCTGGGCTCTGTCAATCACTCTGAGATGTCATTTGAGTTTACAGCAATGTACTACATAATGATGAACTGTGTACTCAGGAGTCCCATAGATTGCATCAGTCTCCCCCAACTGGTGTGAGCATACTGTGATGTGCTGACGATGCAATTCTCAGCCGATGCCCTCATCCCTAAAGGACGTGTGGCAGTGAAATGGAAACGGCTTCAGGCTATGGCCTCTTTGAAAGCTAGGGGTTGGGTCCTGCCAGAATCCTGGGTGTCTCAGCTTCCAGTCAGGCCGTGTGTGGGTCCTGTAGTACCTTAGCCACTGGCTCCCTTTAATGGATACAACCACTTGTCTTGTTTGTATTTAGGAAAAATAAGTACTTATAAGAAGGAAGAGAATTAAAGAAGAAAGTGAAAGCTGTCCATTACCCAAATTGTTATCTGTCACATTAGGATGACAGGTTGGCACCTCTATCCCCAAATCTAGAATTTGAGACTTTCTGAGATGATGTGACGGCACTGTAGAGCACCACATGTGACCTCACTAAACAGGCAACATCAAAATGCAGGTGCACTAACCAGGCATGGAGGGGTATGCCTACAATCCCAGCACTTGGGAGGTAGAGACAAGAGGATTAGGAGCTCAAGGCCAGTCTCAGCAACACAATTAAGTTTGAGGCCAGCCTAGGCTATAGGATACCCTATCTCAAAACAACAACAATAAAAATAAAAACACGACAAAACAAAAAACTCCAAAATGCAGGTGCACTAAAAATATTGAGATCATCTTGGGTTATATGTAAAAGGTATATATAAAACAAACAAATTTCATGTTTAGAATTGGTCCAGGCCCTAAAACATCTCATTATGCATGAAAATTATTCCAAAATTCTAAACAATCCACAACAGGCAACACTCTGATTCTGGGTGCTTCAGATACGGGCTGTTTGGTCCATATGAGCTATATTTTATTGCTATAGCCACATGCTTGCATGAAAACCAAAAATACAGGATTACAGTAATACCTCCAGTTGTTTCCTACTGTTTTTTTTTTTTTTTTTTTTTTTTGATCCCCCCAGTTGTTTCCTACTGTTTTTTTTTTTTTTTTTTTTTTACCTTTTTCATTCCTAGCTATCTTAAAAATGCAATTAACAGAACATAGTTTTTGGAACTTTTCACATTTTATCTCAGATAATTCTCAAACTCTTTCCTAACCAAGGCCCAGAAAGGCTGAACACTGGCCCCAAGCTCTGGGGCTCACTAGATCTAGGCTTAGCCAGCTCACAGAGACATAACCATCTGCCTGGCATTAGCTGCCATAGGATGATGACTCAGTCAAAGCACCAGGATACTGTGAGATATTACATGTCCCTGAAAAGAGAGCACCCCGCCCCCAATCAGGGTCTGGAGGAGGGACTGTCGCATCCCGGGATGCTGGACTCCAAGGTCTACTCTGGCCCTCATAGCCTGGAGTAGCCACAGAAGCTGCAGCATAGTAACTGTAATTTTTTAAATGCCCACATACCGAGGAATGAGAAATGAATATATCCAAAATAGACTTCAAACGTAAATAAACAAAAGTCATGAGTGGTTATATATAACACACATATACATAATACAAAAGTCCTCATAGGCCAGTGTGAATGTTATGCTTAAAAAACATCTTAGCCAGGACAAACACTAGCCACATGATGCAGGATAAAGGGACCACAGGCTCGCCTGGTCATAAAAACTAGGTCTCTTTGACAGACCCTGTGTGTCTGATATTTCCATTGTCATATTCCTGTAAGGCTAAATCACCTGTCTCTTCCTTGTGCACAGTGAAATTATAGCCAAAGTAAGAATACAAGTGGGATAACGATGTAGCTCAGATGAAGCTTAATTTCCAGTAGTACCATAACCACATATGGTGGTATACACCTGTAATCCCAGAACTTGGGAGTTAGAAGCAGGAAGATCAGAAGTTCAAGGTCATTCTTGACTCTGTAGCAAGTTTTCAGGCCAGCCTGGGCTACATGAGACTTTGTTTTAAAAAAAAATGAAAAGAAAAAACAGTAAGAAAGCAAGACTGGGGGCTGGAGAGATGGCTCAGTGGTTAAGAACACTGGTTGCTCTTGCAGAAGACCTGACACCCATATGATAGCTGACAACCATCTGTAACTACAGCCCCAGGGGATCAACAGCCTCTTCTGACCTCCGAGGGCACTGCACGACACAGGTGCACTTACCTACATGCAGGCAATACACGCATACACATAAAATAAAAATAACAAATACAATTTTAAAAAAAGAAAAAAAGACTGTGTATTTTGTGGCCTTTGCCTAATTATCAAAGAAAAATATTCACATATAATAATCTGTGGCCCACACAACTCATTGCCTACACAAGTTTCGGCATCTTATTGTATAACTACTCAAAATAAAGGGTGGTTGCTATCCAACCTTTGATTTGGAAAAGTCTCACCATTTTTTAAGTCTCTAAAAATAGAACCCATTCCAAATAGCCTGCTAAGACCCTTCTCCTGCCTGCCAAAATGCACTTGGAATTAATTAATACTGCCAAAACTGAAAAGACATCCAACAACTATTAGGTCTGCAGACAAAGAAAATCACTGAGCTAACTTTCCAAGCACTAGTACCTCTAGAATACTGGTTGTCTTTTTTCTTTAAGAGAGAGATTGAAGTAATTAAATAGTACCATGTACATTCCATATAACAGGAGATGGAAAGAATGGAGCTCATGAAATCTGGCCAAACCTTAAAAACAGTTGTTCCCTCTGT